CTACATAAATGTAAATTTAAACTAAAACTATTTTACTGGGGAAAAGGGAAATCCAAGGAAAAGCTTCACACAGATGATAAAAACAGGAAAAGATGCTCAACCTCACTAGTTTATGAGAATTACAAAGATCGACGATAATTACGTTGAATACTTTATGGGAAATCAGGCATGAAGTTCTGGAGAGGGTGGACATATAGAGAAAGAGAGCATTTCAGAGAAAAATTCAGTACATGTCCCCTGACTAAACAATTGTTATTTCCAGGAATCTCTTCTTAGAAAGTTTCACTCATGTAGATGTGAATGTGTACATGTGTACATATTCATAGGTTTTCAAAGGAATGTCTTTAAGAATAGTAATTATAGCATTGTTAAAGTAAAACTTTACAAACATGCTAAATATTTACCAATAAATATATCACTATGCATATACATGGAATATGTAGCCATTAAAAGGAATGAGACCACACACGTGCAAATGTGGAAAGATCAAAAAGACTCATTAAACAAAACCAGCAAATCACATAATATAATCCTATTCACATATTTTTGAAAACTGCACCTATATGGCCATGTTTATAATTTTAAAAGTAGTGTGTCTATGAATATATGTGTATAGGAAAGTCCTAGAAGTATAAAGAAGCAAGCATTAACAGTAACTGCTTTCTGAGAAAACAGAAATTGAACAAGGAAAAGAGACATTCATTTTTACTACCATATAAAAATAAGTTGCTCTAATTTTTTACAGCATTCATGTATTACTTTTATAAATACGTATATATGCACACACACATTTAAACTACATTAACCAAGCACTAGCTGATTTTGCCAATTGATACACATTATCAGTAATTAGCACACAAATTATTCATGTGTAACAGGAGTATCAAATTGTCAGAGGGTGCTTAAAACAAGTTTTCTAATAAGGTTTTAAAATAAGTATATTCTATCAATTTGCTTATATAATTCAGACTCACAGCTTAAAAAGAATTTATGAAGTATAGTGAAGTTTCTCTTCAAATCCTGTTATCATCACTTGAAAGTTCCAAACAACTATGGCCAGGATTAATGAGAATCTACTGAAATGCTGTCACTTGTTTTTGTGGATATTGGTGAATATGGTGAAACATAAGACTTCAGCTTAGCCTACTTAATATATTTAAGGCTATGAAGTTTCCTCTAACATGGCACTGGCCACATTCTGCTTTTTAAAATCACTGACACTTCTTTTTGAATTTTTTTCAATGTCCCAGGTGAAGAAGTGGTCAAGCTCCTCATAGCTGACCTTTAATTATTAACCCAAAGGACAAAAACATTTAATCTAATGACATGTAAGAAGAACAACAATATAAATTGAACTAAAGTTGGAGAAAAGACTTACATGTAATTCTAAAACACTATCCAAAATCAGGGATAGGGAATTAAAAGGTACAAACTACTATGTAAAAAATAAAGAAGCTACAAATATAGATTGTACAGCCCAGGGAATACAGCCAATATTTTACAGTAGCTATAAATGGAGTATAATCTTTAAAAATTGTGGATCACTGGAATTTGACACAACACTGTAAAATGACTATAATTCAATAAAAAAAAAGTTTAAAAAAAATTGTTGATGACTGTGTTGTACACCTGAAACTTATGTAATATTGTAAATCAACTATACTTCAATTTAAAAAAAAAGAGATTAATGCTCTAGTCTGGAAATCAAGCCTTATGTTTCTATTCTGCATGAAAAAAATTTTAATCTATTTTATTCATAATATAATGAAACTCTTTTGAAAGAGCAAAAACATAGACAAATAGCGGAAGGAGTTATAAAAAAGTAACAGGTGAAAGGAAAATATTTGCAATGGATGAGGCAACAGATAAACAGTAATCTTCAGTGAAACTGAGTATAACATTAGGAAAAATAAATAACCTAATAGCTGCTAATTGGAATTTTAATGAGAGTGTTTTAGGCATGGCCTGCCTTTTTTCAGTTTGCTACAATTATTCTTTCATCCCCTGTTTTACACTGGCCCAGTTCATTTATTTACTTCATCTAGTGGCCCCTGAAACAACTGGAGTATGTAACTCTGAGTAAAGAATATGAACAGGCAATTTATAGAAGAAAAATATAAAAGACACAAATAAACTCAAGAGGACATATATTATTTCTCACTCAGCAAACTGGCAAAATAAAATCACTCACATTAACCAATATTGGTGTGGTTGTGAGGAACAGAGAATTCTTACTCTATTACATTGGTGCCATCTTTTTGGAAGACATCTGATCAGTATTTATTAAAAAAAATTTTTTTAATGTGAATCACCCAGAGGTCCCACTTTTAGGTATTTACCCACATGAAAAATACAAATTTACAATAATATTCATTGAAGCATTTTTATGATAGTTTAAAAAACTAGAAATAATTTTAATATCCACCAAGAAGGGATTGGTTGGATAAGTTCTATGAAATGAACTACTGAGTACAGCTCAATTATTAAATAGAATGAAATAGATCTATACTATTGTATGGAAAAGAAGCTGTAGAAAATATACATGGTACCATCTTACTCTAAAGAAACAAATCTAGACAATTGTATTATAAATACTGCAGAGCAGTCAGCTGGCCAATGGTAGGACCTAATCCTGCTTCCAGGTTATTTGCCAAATATGAACAAATGACCAGGCTAGACCAAAAAAAGACAGCCTCTGGGGTTTTTTTTTTTCTTTTTTTTTCCTGGCTGGGGCTACGGAGAAAAAGTACCACTCTCCCGTGTATCCTCCCTTCATGCAAATAAATGTGCTCTTAAAAACTCCAACCCAGTGTGGACAAATAGCCATAAACGTAAGAAAAAGTGACTATTCCACCAGCCCTGAGGGAAAAGGAAATTAAAACCATAATGCAATACCATTACACATACAGGAGAACGGCTAAAATGAAAAGGCAAACATTTGTAAGTGTTGGTGAGGATGTTAAGCTACCAGGACTCTCGTACACAATGGCAGGAAAAAAAGTTGATTCAGCCACTTTGGAAGATTGTTTGACTGTGTCCACAAAAGCTGATCATTTCCATGTCCTCTGTTCCCATATATACCCAGACAAAATGTGTACCCTCTCCAAATCACACACCAGAATATTCATAGCAGCAAGACCACAATAGCCCCAAACTGGAAACTATACAAATGTCCGTTTGCCAAGAGTGTAGCAAATAATGTTCAAAAGAAAATTTGTTATCAAACTGTAGATTTAACATGTAAATAATTTTGGTGATGCCCACAAAGAAGCAAAATTAAAAGGTTAGGTGTTTATTTCACCCTATGGTCTGTTTATATTAAAGTTGGCGATGTAGCAGATTGTCATTTTAAGGAAATCCGGAATCATATTAATAAGTTACTGATAACGGAGGAGTTTGGGAGAAAGCAATATAAAAATCATTTCCTCCCTTGTTTCATTTTCCATTTCCTTTCATCTTTTTTTTCTGCTATCTACATAAAAGATGGCAGAGAAATTCTAAGAACCTTTTTGTCACTTAGTCAACAATATCATGCATCAGTTGTCAGACATAGAGTTTTTCAATGTCTAAAGGAAATAATATATATGAAGTAATCAGGGCAGTTCTTGGCACATAGCAAATACTCATGTTAAACATTAGCTGTTCTTCTATGTCCTCTGCTAAGGTATGGTTGACATAATGATTCCTGTATGGTTAGATTAGATTAGATTAGATACTGTTATCTTGTCAACTAACCTACTTTCATCAGTCACTGAAAGATGCACTCAGCAAGCTGTTTGCCTTCACCTCTGGAGATTTTGTCTCACTTTGTTTTTTCAAGAAATTAGTCTCCTCCATAGGCTTCTAGTAACATACGGGAAATACCTGGGGTTTGTGTGATGTCTGCACTGTTAGAGAACACGGGAACACTGAGAGTGAGCAGGAAACAGATTAGGGAAGTGGCTTTGTACAATCTGTGTGTTCTACTTCATGCCTTGATTCTGAATAAAGCAACTCATTTTATCTAACACTGCATAATGATAATAACCATCTTTATTTTACAATAAGGAATGAATATCACATTAATTATTGTTACTTAATCATTTTAGAATACTATAAATGTTTCACTAAAAATTGCTATGCTAATCAAAATATACCCTGTTTCATTAAAACTATGAACTCTCCCTCATGGCTGCAAAATGAGTAATAAAGTTTGATAGCATGGCACAGTCAAGATTGCTTATTGGATAAGGATGATTTTTCTCAAAATGTGTTATATGAACGCATTAAACATTTGATGCTTAATAAAAGCAAAATAAGATCCCTTTCCACTAAGCTGCTTCAAATACCAATTACATAAGAAAGATTTGCTAAGCTAATGATTTTCTAAGTAGCCACAAATGCTTCTTTAATTCCTGATGTGTTCCTCTTTGTTCCTCAGAATGAATGTGAGTTGTTGTTTCCAATATTTGGTGGCATCACTTTTTTACAGCAAGGATTTACTTAACAAGCCTTTTTATTCTTCCTTGGATTTCATACTGACACTTCTAACAATGAGTTATCAGGGGACACTGCCGCAGACATGAAAGCATTAACACAAAACCAGCACTTCTTGTGCCTCTTCTTCTCATTACATGATCTCTGGGCTGGTCTATCTTAATTATACTCCAGGACATAACAGTGTCTGTAAAGGATACAGCTCCTAGTCTTTCGTTGACTGCAAACATCATCATCTAGCTTGTTTCCTTAATGAGTCACTTCTGGTGTCCATAGCTTTGCAACCCCCTCCCTCAATGATTCTACAGTTGGCAGTATGACTTTTTGTGGTCAATGGTACATTAGCAAATGCAATGCAAACAGAAGCTGGATAAGTGCTTGTGCATTAGATCTTACATTTTGGGGGATCCTGCTGCCATGTGGAGAGAGCACATGGAGGAGGACCAAGGTACCTTGGCTGACAGCCCCAAGCAACTGTCAGACACATGCCTCAAGCCATGAAGAACAAGCCAGCCCCAGCCTACCTTCAGAATGCATAAATGAGTCCAGCCAACACCACGCAGAGAAGAGACGAAACCATCTCAGCTGAGCCTTGCCCAAATTGTTGACCTGTAGAATTGAGAGCAAATAAATGATTACTGTTTCAAATCATTAAAAATTACTTGGCTCTCACTAATGTCTTTCCATATTCTCTTGAGCCAGAAGAGGGACCTGGGGCTGATGAGCAAGGCTCAGTTATGAGGAAGAAGACAAGGCTTGGAGGAAATTTTCAGCACAGAAACAAAGCGTGTTTTATGTGAGCAGGGCAGATCAAACAGTGGGAGATGGGTGTCTCACCTGGGGCCACTGCAGCCCAGCGATGACCAGCAGACTGATGTAACCACCAATGAGCACTTGGTCATTGTCAGCTGCCTGAAACAAGTCCAACTCTGTCAGGGTGATGCCTCATTGCTTTAATTATTTCTACCGGCTGAATCACTTCTCAAAATAGAAATCAGGCTTGGAATGATAAAGTTATTTTTCTTGTTTCCCTAGCTTTTAGGAGGATACTTGCACAACTAAATGTGCCTGGTTTCCACGTAAAAGTTATTGGAGGATGTAATTCTTTATATTTCCCTGTCACAACAGTATATAGTTGGCCAATTATTAACATTATTGACTGACCTTGACAGTGTTCTATCTTCTTTCTTCATTAATCCATATAATTGGAAGTTATGTATTGAGCGTCTTTGATGTGCCCAGCATTGAGCTAGGTATTGATAGACAAGATAAGCAAGGTCCTTTTGCAGCTTCCATTCTAGAGAAGAGAAACAGACAATAACCCCAAAGAATATTTTAAAAATGAGATAATTAAAAATCGTGATAAGTGTTCTGAAGGAATGAAACAAAGTGATTTTAAGAGAGAAAGCTTAGACAGACCGAAGCCTTCTTTAGATTAGGGTGGTATCAACAAAGACCAACCTGAAGATGGAATATTTAAGACCAAAGAATGAGAGGGACTCATGCAGTCATCACAGAACACTGTAGATTTAAAAGTTCCTGCAGTAATGACTATGTATGGAGTGTGGCCTCCCTTGTACACACCGTCAGCCAACGTGAACATGGCAGGGGAAGACAATGCTCTATTGCTATAATCATGCAACTGGAAAATATTTGGTATTAGTAGATCAGATTAACTGGTAGGGTTCCTTCCTTCACTTTTCAGCTAGTTGCAGTGGAGTTTTATGAAAATATAAGTCTATCTTTTTATCATTATGTTACTTCCACTCGGCTGTCTATTTAAAACTATTACTACGATAAAACCACTCAATTTCTAAATCAACTTGCCTGCATGGATCCCTTTAATGAGTTGATAATATATAGAGATGTCCATCATATTGATCAATTAGCAGGTTTAAAAAAATGCAGTGAATTATGAGATGTCTATTCCAGAATGAAGATTGACACAGGTTTATTTTGAAGATAAAAAGAAGAATCCAGAGCTCCTGACTTCTAACATCCAGCTGCTTAACCTGAACCTTTTCCTCATGCTCTTCTTACAAGTGTTAGTTTCCCCCTAGAGAAGAATATTATATTTGTATTTTGGACATGAAAGCATTCTTATGTAAATTTTTGGCTGAACGAGAGAGGTCCATAGAAAAGAAACATCCCACGTGTGAAAATAGAAGGCGGTGGTAGAAGCCAGCCGTGTACAGTAAGAGCTATTTCACACTTTCAGAGAGTTGATTCTGGCATGGTTTGCAATTACAGGAACAGAGAGACATAAGCTAATTAGTTATTGAGTCCCTATGTTCTTCTTTAAGGAAAGCCATCGATCTTTGCCCTCAGAGAGTTATTTTTACACAGTCACATGTGCAAGCTAGTGGGTGACAGACTACCCGCGAGGTCCCCTTTCAGTTCTGGTCTTTGAAATGACAATAATCCCACTTTCATTTACAGGGAGTTTTGAGTCTTCCACATAGCCTGGAATAGGGCTATAGTCATCAAGGGAACCATATTTAATTGCCTATGGCTAATTACTTGTGCAGCACTCAGATGTATTTAATATTAGCGTTTCAAAGCCATGTGGGAGGTCTTTTTAACTCTGCCCCTTTAAATCTTTATAGCAATAGTCATGTGGCTAGAGTTATGTGTATCACTGCCTCTAAAATGTTGAAGGGAGAAACAAATCAGATAAGAAGCTTTAAGAAGAAACATAGTTGGCACTATGAGCACATAAGAGATTACATCTGCTTTAAATTTGAAGATATTTTTGTTCAAATATAGTTAATTGAGGACATTGGGTGTTTCTAGTTCAAGGGTGTATTCATTATCTTAAAAATAAGATAGATTAATGTATTTATGCACTGGCAATCTGCAATTAAATAAAATTATATTTTCTTATACAGAATATGTTAATGTATTAGATTTTTAATCCTTCATTCTATTACATTCCTAGAACTTCTAGCCAATATTAGAAGGTGTAGTAATTGTCTACCGGGGGGTCTTCAGGAGTAGAATTGGGATTGAGACCTGACTACTACATCTAGTGATCAAAGCAGGATTGTATGTGGGGATCTGGCTCCCTACCCTTGCATCCAGCAGGAAGAGAAGCATAGAGAGAAATGACCCCTAAACCACAAGGGACCAAAGCCCACTTTCCCTGGTGTCTTATTCTTGCTACCTGCTGAGCCTTCCAATGGTGCAGGTAACTTCTCCCAAGTAAGAGGTCATTTTGCCACACCAACTGCACAGGGCTTCAAGAGAACAGATCAATTGTTGAAAAGGCATTGCGCACTGACCCCAGACACGGAACCATCTTTGTTGCTCCCTTAGAAAGCTCTACTCACATGTTTTATAGCCCAGATTTGATTCTTCAGTGCTCCTGTTAGGGAAGTATGATGAAAGAGAAGGAGTCCTGGGCTCTCCTCCTCCTACAGTTCAGACTGCCACTGACATCCCTGCGCATCTGGCACGTTTTGCTCGTCTGACTGGGCTTCTTCTTTGCCTTAAGAAAGGAAATGGGCATCATATCATAAAAGTCTTTTCAGCATTATGCGAGGTTACTTTTGTAATAATCCCCACTATTCCTGGGACGGACAGGAGGGACAGTTTGGCTTCACAAATCTTTTGAAATGTTTCTTGAAAGCATGATTTTAATCTGCTTCTCAAGCTCTCCCCAAACATACAGGATCTCCAAGCCATATTTCCTGTGTTTATTTCTATCTCAATTTTAACTGAATCAAGTGTATTAAGAAAAGTTATAATGTGGCTGAGAGGTAACATTTTATCCAAGAGATACAACATCATCTTTATAAAACAAGCCAAGCATACCCTGTCCTAGGGTACCACAAGTCTTCCTCCTTTTACTAGTCACTCCTTTGTTTCCATAGAAATTAATGTTTATCAAAATAAACCTTCTTTGACCCAAGTGTCAGAAATGGGCAAACACATGTAACAATACAGTATTTTCATAACTGAATTCTTAGTCTTCCCCCAGCTCTAAACCTACTGCACCCACAGCCTTCCCAACCTCAGCAGAGGGTCATTCCTTCCTTCCAGTTGCTCACATCAAAAAGACTTTATTCCCATCTTTCTCTTGCACTGCATCTCAATCCATCAGCAAATCTTATCACTCTGCCTTCAATAGATACCTGAAATCCAGCCACTTTTCATCACCTCTAGAAAGAGCCTCCTTCCTTCTACCCTTGCTCCCCTACACACAAACTCAAGAATAATCCTTTTAAAATATGTCAAATCATGTCATCCCTTCCCTCAGATTCCTGACTAATTTCCCAGTTTCGCTAACAGAAAATCGCAAATCCTCGTGGTTGGGTGCACTTTTCCTCAACAGCTTTAGGATCTCATCTCCTGCTTCTCTCTCCCTCTCTCACTCCAGTCCTGCCACAGTGGCCTTTCAAGTTTCTCTAACACACTCTACACCTCTTTCTGGAAGGCTCACTCCCCACAACACCTCCCCCAGAAGGCTAACCCCCTCATGCCTTCAAGTCATTGCTTGAATGACATTTTCTAAACCAAGCCAACTCATAATGCCTTATTCAACACTGCAAACCATCCCCAAACTCTCCCCATAGCATCCTAATCCCCTGAGCCCTACTCCTATTTTTCTCCCCAACACATATTTCTTTTTACCATATTCCTCTGGAACCTAAGTTCCAGGGGACAAAGATCTCTACTGTGAGCACACGGAACAGTATTTGACACAAAGCAGGCTTGTCCTACTGAATATTCTCCTTATGCAGCTCCATCCCAGCTTGAGGGGTCTCACCTTGGATGAATTCTGTCTCTTCTCGAGCACCTGCAGACTGTGGTGGTTCCAGCCTTGGACACTTCCATTGGAAGTTATAATGGACGCCTCCAAATTGAGCACAATCTGTTCAAAGTTCCCAGGAGCTGTCAAAATATATATAAATAGCATCCGTAAGATTTGGAAACACACGAAATTGCAGAACTAAACATGATCAGTTTAGCAGGCTGTAATTTGAGCATAGTTCTGTTATCTTGAAGTCTAGACCAAGAAATCTCATGTTGATGTTTGGTGACAACGCCCATGAGAGATGATGATCATATATGCAGAACGTTTCCATTTGTGTGCATAAGATTTTGCATAATTCCTTGCCTAATGGAGCTACTCCATCCAGTAAGGTTTTCCTGGAATCCAACATAGAATTGAGAGAAATTTCTCTTCTGCACTCCTCCCCTACGAAGGGGGTAATCCACATTATAATATGCAATCCCTCCAAATTCCAATCTTTGGCTCTTCTTTCAGTATTTCTCCACCAGAATACAAAATCACACCGATTCTGCCATTCCCATAACCGTAACTCTTGTTCAGAAGTTTTCAACTTGCAATTTCCAGTTAACAAAGGGGACTCTCCCCTTTATGTTCACATCTGAGTGGAATCGCTCGCCACAGGTTTCCGAAGTTAACATTGCACTCTTGTTTCTTTCAAGCCTGGCTCCACAGGAACCATGAGAACCTTCATGTTAATCCAACTGCTTTCCTCCCAAACTCTGCTTTCCTCAGCTTCAAAATTCACTAGGATGAGAGCAACTTCTCCTATTTTGAAGGTTAAAATAAACACTTCTAGATTAACCTCTTTTCTACCTCCATCAGAGCTGCTCCTCCTTCCTCTGGGGTCTTAGGTCACTCAGATGTTACCTTACCCCTTCAGCGGGGCTTTGTAAACTTTCAACCACTCAAGTTGGAGTAGGATGAGCCCCACTTTCTGAATCCTGAGTATCTCCTGACTCTGCTGTAACTTTTCCACAGTTTTGTATGGACTTCAATAATCACTTTTTTCATTGATCCCGTTTCTCCCTGAATTCCCAGAGATCTACTCAAAACCCAAACAAAAATTTTCTGTTCACAAGCAAATAAACACACACACAGGTCAAGAAAACTTTCACAGTTTCATCTGGCTCTAGGAACTGGGTGTGCACAGTAGCAAGAAATCACAAACTTTGGTTCTGTTAAAATCCACTTTGGACTGTGAATTGCAATAAGTAATTTGGTGATAAATAAGTCAAGAAAAGACTCCTTATAACAAAAGCCCTGCCTTGGTTAACATTCTGTATTCCCAAATTGACATTCTCATAATAAAAGCTGAAAAACATGTCCACCTCCCATCTCTGGCTAAAAGTCAGGAAAACAGAAAAGATAATCCAGGGTAGTGAACTCATGCCAGTCAGCAAGTCCAAACATATGCACCATGGAAGTTTGCTGGTTTGAGCCCCCACTGGCCTTTAAAACAAATTTCCATCCCTTCCAGGACTAGAGTCTTCCTGCCTCCACGTGGGATGTTCCCCAGCAGACATGCAGCCTCTCTTGCAGAGCCTGTCCTGGCCCAGCAAATGAATTCTCATCCTGCCAACATGCTTCTGCCTTTTCCCCTTTCCAGCACAGGAGCCGTGTTCCCTCCACGTGGAACACTGTCTATGAAATGTACAGCTGTTTCCACAGTTTGAGGTTCACAAGAGTCTGTTTCCCAAATCCCAGTCTTCTGTGCATGTATTTGCCCTATTCTGCCAAATTATGGTGGCCATGAGAATCCCTGACTCTCCTATCAACTAACCCTGCTACAAATTCTTATGGGAGCTGTGCAGAGGGCCCACTGGCATGTTGACCTTGTTTACTGCCACTCATGTCTTTGACAATAAGAACCAACGTGTTTAGCAAATTGAATTAGACAGTGAGTGAACCACAAGAACTTCCTGACCTCTCACATTTAAAGCCTAGAGAAGAAATAAGCCAGGTAGGCACTTTGATCCCTTCCCCCTAGATCTCACTGGTGTTCTTAGCCTTCTGGATCCCATTATTCTGATAACGAGAAAGAGACATGGACGCACTACTGTCAACAGAATCATGGTATTCAGGTGACTTCCTCAAGCATTATGTACGTGCCCTTCAGCTACAGACATGGAATAGCTTCCCATTCTCACCACAGAATAATTCTCTCCTTAGAATACTTCACCACTGAGTACTTGGGTACTCAAACCCTAACTTGTTTGTTTAGTCATATTTATCACTCCTCTCCCCACTCCCCGAACCTGAATTTCCATGCATGTTTATTATCGTGTTTAATGGCATCTCTGTCTATAGACTCCATTGCCCACACTATGAACTTCAAAACCTCAGTGTCTCTCATTCAACGGTTTATGCATTGATCAAAGAGTTACTTTCTGAGCACTATGTTAGATGTGGAGATAAACAGACAAAAAAGAACCAAAGATCTGCTTTCCAGAGCCGCACAATTATTATAACATATAAGAGACAAGATACTATGGAAGTGCAAAGGAAAAAAGACGGACTTCCCAGAAGAGATAACATTTGAGGTGATTCCAGAATGAGGATTTCAACCTACAGATAAAGGGATACCTGCTGCTGCTGAGAGAGGCAAGCATATGGCAAGCGCACAGAAGCATAAAACAGCATGAGATGCTGGGGGAACTATCAGCACAACAGCCTCATTTTCCAGTAAGTTATAGTGATGAAAATTGGTACATGAGGTGCAAAAGGTAGGCATCACAGAACAGCCTTGGGTACAATGGTAGGGAATGTGCATTTGATATTATGGGGATTTCATACTTAAAATGAAATTTATAACAGTAAAATGATTGAAAAGGTATGCTTTATAAAAATCACTCTAGTGATTTCAGTATGGAAGGTAGAAATAGGTTCGTAGAGACTAGAGGCAGGGCCTGAACTAAGGAGTGGGAATGGGAAGTAATTCTGAATTGCAGAAAGGACGCTGTTAGAAGGATTGTCACAGTTCCTGTGCAACTGGTGCAACTAATTCTCCCCCAGAACACTTCACCACTGAGTGCCGCAAGAAAGAGCAGTCCCCGTACCACTGACCAAAGACTCAGAATGTGAACTGGATGACGACTCACACTGCGCTAAAACTCCATCACAGGCCTTCCCACCACTCGTCTACCAGCCTTTCTTACTGTATGACTTCACCTATGATTTCTCTCCTATATTGATGGGAGAACTGCCCCCAACTTCTCAAAAAGAGAAGATCCCTCAACTTGTCCTCTAGGTCCTACCAGCCCTCCCAACCCATGAACTTTCCTTCCACAAGTTATGTCTTTCACAGCTTCACCCTCAGTCTTTTCCCATCTGTAGGGTAATGGTTTTTATCCTACAAACATGCTATACAATTTCCTTTCTTTAAATAAAACAATTTATAATTTTCCCTAAATTCCCCTCCAGGTATGCCAATGCTCTAATTTTCTTCCCCCAAAGTCTTCTTTTGAAAAGGTGGTTACACTGTTGTCTCTAAGTCATCTCACATGTACTTCTTAAAAAATATGAAATAGGTCAATACATAAGAAAGGATCTTTTATCATCACTCCTCAGCTCTTCAAGCCCTGGATCTCACCCCTCCTAACTGCTTAAGTGGGTCATATACTCTAAAGCCTTCATGTTTTTGTTTTGATACACCAGCACAGAATGTCTTTTTCAGCTTTCTCTTCCTATGAAATCACCACTGATCACTCAAACCAACTATTCCACAAAGTCTTTCTCAGTGTCTCCAGTCAGATTAATCATTTTTCTCTTCATTTCCTGCTTTTACTTTTGTTTTTATGTCCTTATCTATTCTGCTTGAAATTACAGTTTATAATTCAAGGCTCAAGGTCATGCTTCATAATTTGTAATTCAAGGTCATATGTTTGACATTCAAAATAAATTATAAGCTTTGCATAAAGAGAACACTCATCTTATCTTCATTTCCCCCACGGTAAAACCTAGCACTATGTCCAGCTTATAACAAATGCTTGTTTACTTCAATGGTTGGTTAATTAATTAAAAGTGAATCAAAAGAAGGATAAACATACATAAATTATGAAAAAAATGTTTTTGCTCAGACTCTTGGATTTAACAACATTACATTTTCTAATATTAAAACTGTTTTCTTTAAAATTATTCTACATATTCAATACTGTCAAAACACTTGATCAAAATTGATCAAGCTCTTATTATCCAGTGTACTATTGGCTAAAACTGAGCATAAAAAGAAAGGCTGGCTATGAAATTCTCTTTTATGGGGAAAAAGAGAGAGAAAGACAGATTGACTTACAAATTACCAACTAACTTCCCATCTCCAAATTGTAAGTTTGTAGTTTTAAGTCCAATAAGCCACTGATGTAAAATTAATCCAGTCAATTCATTTACATCTAGTACATTTAAACATGACATTTATTTCTCAAGATTGACTTTGCTTTACAGGTATAAATGCTACATAAGATAATTGTGAGTATCTAACAAACCACTACAGAGCCCAGTAGCTTAAACAAGTCATAATTTATTTAGCATGTAATTCTGTGGGTTAGCAATTAGAGCTGGGCTCAGTGGGGTGGTTCTGGTTTATCCTGGGCTTACTCTTGTGCCTACAATCAGCAACCAGGTCAACAGAAAGCTAACTGGTCCATGATCACCTCAACTGGATGATCCTGTGTCATCTCGCAGCTCCAGCATGCTAGCCTGGGTTTATTCACAGGGAAGCTGGGTAAGGAATGAAGAGAGAAACTGAAGCTTGCAAAGTCTCCTGAGGCCCAGGGGCAGAGCTGACACATCATTCTCTGCTACATTCTACTGATCAAAGGAAGTCACTAAACCAGCTCAGGTCAAGGCAAGAGGGAGTAAGTGGACTCTGCCTCTAACAGGAGGCACTACAAATATGTGAACAGAGGGAGGAGTAAAGGCTTATGGCCCTTTTTATTCAATCTACCTCAAGGAGTGAACATCCCATAAGTATATATTGAATATTTCATATGAGATTGTCCCTAACTTCAAGAAATTATAGCCTAGTGTGGGAGACAGACAATTACAGGGTAATAATGAGATAAGTGGTCTGGGCTGTTTCTCTGCTTAGAACACTCTT